CTCAGATTCTCACACTTTTACAGCAATGTTTCACCCACTGAGCCATCACCATAACATCTATATAAATTTGACTACTGACCATTATTCTAGCTTCAGAATAAAAATATAACACTCAATGATATATTTTCTCATTAATAATAACAGCTGTCACTTTTCTGGGCCATTTTCAAGCTAGCATGCTGCAGACACGGTGCTCCATGCTCTTCAGGTACTGTCTTGTTTGACTTTCACAGTCTTGTCCAGCAGGGTCATTAACTCCCTTTACTTAGATAGAAATGATGCTGTATAAGGTCTGCATTACTTCTGGGAGCCATCAACTCACAAGCACCCTCAGTCTGTTTGAGGTCCAGAGTTTTCAATTTAGAAGCAAACAAAAATATTTTAAGACTGTAAGTTTCTAAAAGACTGAGTGCTTGTAGTAAACTTCCAGAATGGCAAGAAAATCAATCGTTATTCCAAAAATAAACTGCAGTTTTATGAGTGAAAAAATGAAAGGCTGCCTTTAGGCAAATACTAAAATAGTCCATTTTTTTATTGTTTTCATTAATTATTTACAGTAACTGAAAATATTTTGGAATATGTTTGGAAATCCACCAGGGTTTGGGAAGCCCATGATCACTGTTCATGAGGCTACTCTAGGTATAACGATAGGTGTGTACTGTTATGTGCTGGAACACAGGGACCAGTAAGGAAGTTTTTGATTTCCAAATAGTTAGTTGACGGCATGAAACACAGTGACAAATCATACATTCTCCAAACAGAATGCAATGATAGGATGCAGCACTGGGTCTTACAGGAAAGTAACCAGCCGTGCTTCATACAGTCAGAGGGGAGGAGGGGATGTAGTGAAGGAAGAGAGACAAGTCGGTCAGCTGGCCATGTGCTCTGCTCATTCCAGGAGAGGGCAAAGCCCAGGCACAGATGCAGAGGTGGAAAGCCAGAGCTGCCCTAGTGTGGACTGGAAGGCAGGCTCCAGACCATGAAGAAATGAAAACCAGTAAAGGTTTGAAGCAGGAAGCAACATGGTCAAAGGCATCCTTTAATTAAAGCCTTCAGGGACAGAGTGAAGCAGCAAGAATGTGGGCAACATAGAAATGGGTTCAAAACTTGGCTGAGAACTTTTACACAAGACTGTTTAGTCAGGGTTTTTACTGCTGTGTAGACCACAGCAGCTCTTATGAAGGAAAACATTTAATTGGGCTGTCTTACAGTTCAGAGGTTTAGTCCAATATTGTCATGGCAGGAAGCTTGGCAGCATACAAGCAGACATGGTGCTGGAGAAGGGGTTCTGCATCCAGGTCCTCAGGCAGCAGGAACAGAGAGTGACACTGGACCTAGCTTCAGCTTCTGAAACTTCAATTCCACCCCCAGTGACACACTTCCCTCCAACAAGGCCACAATTACTTTAACAAGGCCACACCACAATATACTACATGGTTGGAGACATACATTATGGAAACATACATTATGAGTTACCTCCCGTGTTTATTTGTGGTGAGAACAGAGATGAGATCTATGCCTGGGTCTTGCCAACTGGTAATGGAGAGTAGAATAAGACATCACAGACTGAAGTAGTGGAACACAGCAAGTAATAAACCTCAGCTGTTGATATTAACACCGTGCAGCTACAGCTTCAGGAAAATCCATATGGGAGTCTGATGAGATACACTTAAATCTTTCATAGGAGAAGCAGTTTTCAATTTTTTCAGACTATCAACAAGACAATCGGAAAAATACTTAGAGGATGAAATTGGCAAACTTAAGTGACAACCCAGGGATAGAGTGTGAGAGAAGAAGGTGTTAGTGATTAACTCTAAGTCTAGGATGGGTGACTGGAAGGCTGTGGCTGGTGGCTCCTGACAGAGAATATGGAAGCAGAGTGAGTCTGGGAATGGGGGGTCTTGCTGAGGAGCAGATCCTCATGTGCATCTAGAAGTGGAGATCTAAATGTCAGTGGGCAAGTCTGGGGTGAGGGGACAAGGTGTGGCTGGGAATTAAGACAAGAGGGAGTTATGAGCATCTCACAGCATGAGAAGGGAAGGTACTGACCAGGGAGGGCATGTTCAGTTGGAAGCTCAATGAGCTAGGACAGAACTTTCTCGGGACTAAGGACAAGGAGACAGTGGCAGCCATGGGAGAAAAGAATACTAAGTGAACTGAAGCACAGTTCAGTGGGTGAAGAACCAGCCATCACAGTGTCAATCTGGAGCTCACCTCATACCTACGAAAGTGTATCTCTCACACTCCATCAAAGAATCTTCCTCTTCAAGCAGACGGAAACATTGCAGAAAGTCACAACTAGTCAAAAGACAGCGAACAACTGACTCAGGGCGCTCAGCCCCAACTGATGTATCTATAGCACTACAACACAACTCTTACCCCAAGGCCCAGGACCATTGAACAAGAGGGAAGCAAGACTGTAAGAGCCAGAGGACCAGAGTCTACTGCAAGATTGTGTCTTCTAGATGTGACAGGGAAGCTGTGCCCATGGAATCCCAATACAGCTGTTTAAACGAGAGCTGAGCAAGGACAGGGAAATCTCATGGGGCCCCATGCCCAGATGAAGAGCTACAGGCAACTAAAGACTGTTGAGAGGGAAAATTAGTCTTCCCCAAATGAGCCCCTTAAATTGTTATCCAACCCCAAGTGGTTAGCCTGAAAAACATATACATATAAGCAACATTAAACAGACCCAGCAGTTGTATTTACATATTTACTTTCATATATGTGTATGATAAATTAAAGAATGAGAGGTCATGAATTTGAAAAGGAGTGGGGGGTGAACATGGGAGGAGGAGGCAATGATAGCATTATATTTTAATTTAAAATTTTGGGGTTTTGAGATCAGTTCTGTCTATGTAGCCCTGGCTGTCTTGGAACTCACTGTGTAGCCCAGGCTGGCCTCAAACTCACAGGATCAGCCTGCCTCTGCTTCCAGGGTGCTGGGATTAAAGGTGCTGGCTAACTAATTTTAAAAATGCTTGGAGTTCAGATCCCACGAACTCATGAAGAAGTTGAATGCAAGAGAGTACAACAGTTATGATGGCGAATGCTGTCAACTTGACAAGACCTCAAGAGATGGGCCTCTTGGCATGCCTGTAAGGGGATTGTCTAGCAACCCACTACGGGTGGTATTAAAGGAAGAAAGCCTGCTGAGCACAGGATCCACTGATGTGTGTGTCTGTACGTATGTATGTATGTACAGGTGTGTCTCTCGCCCTCCCTCTCACCCTCCCTCAATTGCAGACACACCGTGACCAGCTGCTTCAAGTTCCTCTGCTGATTCCCATGTAACTGTGCCCAAATAAACCTTTCTCCTTGAGTTGCTTTTGTCAGTGTATTTTGTCACAGCATCAGCAAAGGAAGCTAAAATCATCTCAGCTCTTATATGGGGAGATGGGAGGAGGAGACAGAAAAGTCCCTGGAAGCCTGAGGGTCAGCTAGCTGATGCACGCAGTGGAAACAACAGCAGACCCTGTCTCAGCTCAGGCAAGGTCGAAGACCGGGACTCAGCCAAACTTGTCCTTTGACCTCCAGATGCACACCAAGGCATGTGTACGCACTTACACACAACATGGCTTAAACAGTAGTGAGGAGGGACAGAATCTGCCGTACGTCTAGGTGAAGGGACAAGGAGGAATTATCTAGGAGGGGGAGGAAATTGCAGACTCCAAGGTTAGGGTCAACATTTATTGTTTCGTTTTTTTGTTTAGACAGGGTCTCATTATGTAACCGTGGCTGGCCTGGAACTCACAGAGATCCTCTTACCTCTGTCTCTCAAGTGCTGGGAATCCTTATTTGTAAGATAAAGAACTCTGATCATTCTGTGAACTGTAAAGAAAAACGCTGAGGATGGCGAAGAACAATGATGATGTAGCGAACTCATTGACAGAACAGGGTCCTTGAGGAAAAAGAAGGGCTTTGCAAGTATCGTCCATGTAGCGGGGGCCTCCTAGGAGCCCACAGTCTGATGGGAAAGCATGTCAACAAACAGGAGAGTGACACAGACACCAGTCCTCGAGCACATTCCGTCACAGAATGGAGGACTCAGCCGGCATGGTTTTCCTGAACCATGTCTGTAACTGCTCCCTCTCCACACTGCTGTCTCATGCAGCAGCTGGGACCCAGCCCCACCAGAAATCTGATGAGGCTTTTTGTTTGTTTTGTATGAATGAACAAACGCAGCCATTCATTTTAAAGATGTGTAAGAACATATTTTAAAATAAGCAAAGTAATTTGGGACATTAAAACAGTCCAACATTAATAAAAATAATACTATACACACAGCAGTATGCACAGCTACTTCAGCCGTGAGCTACACTGACCAGTTAAACTAGCTTGGAGTCACAGTTCTCAAGTTCTCAGACTTTCAGTGCATTTCAATGAATATCATCTTCATATTGTCCCTTCATCAGACAAACCTAGGGCACTGTGGGCTGGCTTTGCAAGGCCTGTCCACTTTCCACAAGTGACTTTTGTCTAATTACAGGTGTCTACTATCCACCCCATACTGGAAGCTATGCCTCAGAGTCCAGGACAAAATTTGACGACTCTCCCAACAAAAAGAAACCAACCAACCAACCACGCACACAACCTGCTTTTATTAAAACTCCTGTACCTAAGTGTTGAAACTGTTATGCTTTACAGTACACACAGGGAACATCCATGGACGGACCACAGGGAAATTCTCCAACCAAGCACGGCCCAGAACCTGAGCCTTGCTTAGGAACATGGGGGAGCACCCTTATTTATTACTACTGTGCTGAGATGGCAAGGCTCCTCCTAAACTGACAGAAAAGGAGCTGTGGCAGAGAATGGCGCGTGATGACAACATCTCAACAATACGAACTATGTCAGAAAACAAAACTCCTTTCTTTAACGAGCAATTACAGACACGATGATTAAATGGTCTGAGTTTTAAGGATCAAATCAAGCCCATCATCAATGACTTTAAAAGGCACAATTCAATGCATTCAGAAGGTGGGGGGAGTTCTACTTACCTATAGCACAATGTAAAATCTAGAGAGGAAAAAAAGGGGGGAAAGAAAATTAGTGAGGACCAATATTACAGCTTTATTTCACATAAACTGCTCTTTCAGCTAAGAATAGAGCAGCAGCGGCCAGCCATACTTAACCTGAAAAACAAACATTCCACTTTTAAACTTTGCTACAGGCTATTTAACAAAATAAAACCTGTTACTAGTTCTGTCTGTTCATTTTAGTTTGTGTATCTTTGGGAGAGCTCCTAAAGACTTAATGGTCACACAGTGGCTGGTTAGATGTCAATGACCTCTTTAATAACTCGTCAGCTCCCAAGGACACAAAGCACAGCATCTCCTATGTCCCATAATCTGCAGAACAGAACTGTCACAGGCCACACAACGTGGCATCAGCAGCGCCTTTGTTGGCTGTTCTTGCCCAGCAGACCCTTCAATACAGATAGGCATTCTTCAAAGCTCCACCCTTGGTCCCTATCTCGCCTTGCTCAATGATCTTGCTGCAGAGTTCTTCCCTGGTCTAATTTCTAGACATGTCTCCCAGCTCCAGGTCCACTTTCCAAACTACCTTGGACATCTGCATGCACTACATCAGCATCTCAAAATGGTTACCTCTCTGGGAAGCACATCACTTCCTTCCTCCCTATGTTACATCTGACAACACTGGGCTCCTGGTCTGTTGACTAACGTCCCCTCACCCCCAAGTCTCACTGGCTTCCTATTTCTGCTGCTACATCTCAGATCGTCTTGTTTTCACTTCTAGCACCTGGAGTGAGAATGCCATTTCCACCCTATCTCAATGGCATCCCGACTGGTCAACTGTGTCCTTCTGAATCCCCATTGCTTTAACACTGGCTATGATTGTCTTGAAGCCCTATAGGACTGAGTTCATGAACAGAGTTCTTCTGGGCAAGAAGGATAAAATCTGTTGGAGTTCCTTTTATCACTTTTACAAAACATCTCTAGCAGTTATTTAGTTGACCCTGCTAGTCACCCTGGCAGGTAGACAGGGCAGTTAGGGCAGTGGGTGGGAACACCAGGACACAGAAAGCTGCACAGCTTGCCCACAGTGGTCAGCAATGGCCTGGGCAAGAATCCACGCCTTGGTTTTCTGTCTTCTCTGTGTTTTCTACCACTATTTCTGAGTTATGAGACCCAGAGGCCAGAACATCACAAGACAGATTTTAGCTCAAATATCCCTGATTAGCTCTGTGCTTAAAGACTACTTATTTCACTAACACCCCCAACTCTATTTGGGGTAGAAAGGGCAGAGTAGGAGGAGAGAGCCTGGATTTAGAAAAAAAACAAACAAAAAAAAAAACTGAGCTAAGCTATACAAACTTGGCCGCTACCTGAGAAGGGAAGAGAAGACTTTCCATCCAGCCAGTCATGTTATCCCTTTCAAAAGACAACCCTGAAAATCTCAAATGTGTGACTCTTACAAGAGAAGCTGAATCTTCTGCTGCACGGCTCGGCAAAGCTAGAGGCCATATCTAGACTCAAATGAGGGATGAAATGAAGGACATGAATGAAGAGCATCCCTTGAGAAGACAGACAGCAGCATGCACTCTCTTCATTAGGTGACAAGACATCCTGACTGCTCATTAAGGACAGGGCGCTGCAGGGGAAAACTGACAGCAATCCGTGCTACCCTGTTTTCTAGGTCTCTGTCCTACGAGGCCGAGCCTCTCCTTTTTCATCACACATATTTTATAATGCCTCCTTCTCCTTCCCGATGAAACTCACAGCTGATATGACCAACTTACACAAAATTCTGAAAAACTATACTAACTGATTCACAAACAAATGAAAAGAAAATGAATTAAAAAGATATATTTCAGTATGTAAATGCTTTTGGACATAAAGATATAACAGCAAACAGATACAATATTATCTCATAATAAATAAGTTTGGATTTAAAAATAAAATTTTTCAGGGGCCAGGGAGGTGGCTCAGCAGGTGAAGACCCTGCTGTATAAGCCAGGGAATCCAGTTTGTGAGGGGCCCAGGGAAAGGTAGATGGAGGGACTGACTTCCACCATGTGTACCGTGACTCCTGTGCCCACACCCACATAATAATAAATAAAATTTAAAAAATAGTAAGAATTTTGATACTACCCTGAGTAAGCTCTAGCAAATACAGACAGAATGGTCCAGACTAACAAGAGAAACAAAACCATCATGAAGGTAAGTAGGAACAGAAACAGCAGAGTAGACAAATGGAATTGTATTTTGGATTCACTAGATCTTATTTACGTATAAAGAACAGCACAAAAGTAATCTTGTAGGTTATTCCTAGGGGTCAAATAAGAAAGAACAAAAAACTTATCCTTCTGTCCTGAAATCCTGAGCCTAGTGTGCAAAAATTCCTTGCACAGCATATTTTTGTTGTTTTTTTGAGACAGGGTTTCTCTGTATAGTTTAGGTGCCTGTCCAGGAACTCGCTCTGCAGACCAGGCTGGCCTCAAACTCACAGAGATCCGCCTGGCTCTGCCTCCCGAGTGCTGGGATTAAAGGCGTGCGCCACCACCGCCCGGCTCCATATTCTTTAAATAGTGAAAGAAGGACCAAAAGATAAATGATGAGAAAACAAACCACCACAGCAAAAACGACCCACAGCACTTCAAGAGGCAACAGCACAGTTACGTACTAGATTGGGGACACTTCCAGACAAAGTTAAAAACCAGAGCGGGAAAACAGCTCAGTCAGTAAAGTGCTCACAAGAGACCTGAGTTCAGTCCGCCGAACCACACATAAACAAACAAACAAACAAACCAGGCCTGGTGGCATATGCTGGTAATCTAGTACTGCTGGGAATGCCTCACCTACATGGCAAGTTCCAAACCAATGAAAAGGCCTGAATCAAACAACAACAAACACACAAAACAAGGTGGATACTCAAGGCGATTCTGGCTTCCAGCTTCCATGTATACTTGTATACACATACACAACCACACAAATAATAACAATAATAATTTGAAAACCAAAGCTATCTCAAAATAAAACTTCTATTTCACAATTGAAATTTCTTTCTTTCTTTCTTTTCTTTTCTTTTTCTTTTTTTTGGTTTTTTGAGACAGGGTTTCTCTGTGTAGCCTTGGCTGTCCTGGAACTTACTCTGTAGACCAGGGCTCGAACTCACAGAGATACACTTGCTTCTGCCTCCCAAGTGCTGGGATGAAAGGCGTGTGCCATCACCACCCGGCCTAAAATTTCTTATCATCACATAGATAACATGAAATATTATTGGTCTATATTAAAGAAGGTGTTCCCTTTTTTTTTTTTTTGAGACAGTCTCACTATATAGCCTTGGCTAGCCTGGAACTTGCTATGTAGACCGGGTTGGCCTTGAACTCGCAGAGCTCTTCCTGCATGCTGGGTTTAAAAGTGTGCACTGCCCACCCAGAGCGACCCCACTAATTTAATACCTAGTCTGAGTAGCAGCCTTCAGTCTCCTGGCCCGTATTTCTGGGCTGTCTCATTACTTTCAGTAACAACACTAGCACTCTGAAGCCTTCTCAGCCAAGTGTGCAGGCCAGTAGTGAGTGCCACAGCACTTCCAGAACACAATGTGAAAGGGAACACATTACTTTGAGATAGTATCTCTATTTCACATTAGCTTTTTTCTTCAAATTGATAGTGTTAGCACACAGAATTCTAAAGGCAATTTCCCAAGGTTACAGCTGTCTATCCAAACATCGATCTAGATACTGTAGGATAGAGATTATTTGAATGTAATTAAAACGTCAATTTACTTATTTAATATTTATTTATCTGTAGATAACACTTCACTCTGTAGCCCAGGCTGGCCTGGAATTCACAATATAGCCAACCTGGTCTCAAACTAACAGCAATCCTCCTGCCTCAGCTCCCTAGTTGTTGTGACTACAGGCATGGTGGGCCACCATACCTTGGTAAAGTCAACTGATTTTAAGTTACAGAGATGGTGTGGGTAGACACGACCCAATCATAAGCACACTTTAAGAGTTTTCTAGCATGCATGTGACCTTGGGTTTGAGTCTCAGAACTAGAAAGAGAACAAGAGTCTTCTCTGGCAGGTAGGAGCAGGGAAGTCAGACACTCAAAGAACAAGGATTCAACATAGCATGCTTGGAGGCTGGAGGGGCTGTGTGCAAGGACTGCAGAATAGTCCCTGAGTGACGAAAGGCTGCCAGTCAACAGCTAGCTAGGAAACAAGAACCGCAAGGACATCTGCCGGCCTCCCTGATACCTGATGCTGGCACCTTGATTTCAGTCTTGAGTCCCTGAGCAGAGAACCCATGGGCTCTAGTTTCTAACTTCAAGAACTGGGAACCAAGTGAGTGCTGCTGCATGCTGCTGACTGTATGCGGTGCGGCAGCCAAGCCTACAGCAATTCTCTAAGCCTTTTCTCTAACATCTTGTGAAGGTTTTTAGTATTAGTGTAGACTACAAAAGGCTGGGGAGATGAGGGGGAGCAGGCAGAACAGATCTTCATTGAGTTGGACACTTTAATGCACTATGGGACATCAAGTAAGTGGTGTCCCTAGTGACTGAGACAATGAAAACACCCTTATAACTTCCCTACTCCTAGGACAGTGGTTCTCAACCTTCTTAATGCTGCGACCCTTTAATAGAGTTCTTCATCTTGTGGTGACCTCCAACCACAAAATTATTTTTGTTGATATTTCATAACTAATTTTGCTACTGTTATAAATCGTAATGTAAATATCTGTGTTTTCTGATGATTTTAGGTGACCCCTATGAAAGGATCATTCAACCCCCAAGGCGTTGCGACCCACAGGTTGAGAACCGCTGTCGTAAGAGTGCCAGCACTCTGGGATCCATAGAATAAAATCACTGGACTAGAACAAGCATACCTGATAGGAAAAACAGTAGAGAACCTGCCATATTCAAACCACTTGCAAAAACACCATACGTTCTTCCCTCGAGAGCCCTTTACATTACGGGGATGTGACAGCCAGCCCTAACTTGATGGAACGGCATTACTGCCTGCTCTACTCCAGTGACACTTCCCCTAGA